TTGCTTTCTGAGACAGGGCGCTGCTAACAAATCTAAAGCAAGCACACAAGAGGGGTACTACTGAAGTCGACAAAAAGCCACAGATCTGTCTTTGCTAATGTGTTGTTTTCTTTTACTTGTTGTATATAAAAGTGTTGGCTATCTCGTTGCCTGTGTGTATGGAAGAGGAAATGATTGGCTTGTGGGTACCACAGACCAACAAGCCAATCATCAATAAGGACCTTGCACGACTGCCTGCGTTTCAAATTATGGGAGGCATACGCGGGGTCCGTGAGCCAGTCATAATTACGTAATGAAGCAGGTGCGCACATGTGATGGCAAAGACTGATGCCAGAACCTTGCAGCAGGGCTTACTCATTATTTATCTGGAAATATAAATACAGCTATACACAGAAGATTTAGTGTATAACATGAATGCCAAAAATATACATACCGCCATTAAAAATGAAGTGAATGATGAGACAGGTTGTAAACCTTGCTGTTATTGTGATCTTACAAATGTAAGGAGGGCCATATTCGTTCAGCATTTCAGCCAGAAGACATTTATTAACAAATAGAAGTGCAAAACACTGCAGTGCAATATATGAAGGTGTTCTTGAGTGAGTAGATTTGACACCGGTCCTTATGGAGAGGGAAACTCCGTCCCATGTGTGCAGCTGTCTGAGCTCCACCAAACTCCATATTAGCCGGCATTAACTCCTCATTATGCACACTTAACCCAACTCTGAATACAGCCGTGTTCCAGCAGTCCGTCCTCCTGTCCTTTAGAGCCGCCATCACCCAAAGCGGTTCAGTCTGTCTCTTCAATGTCAACTCAATTCAGCTCAATTCGACGTTATTAATCCCCATGGAGACGATGGATTTGAGGGCAAACAAAGTTCTTCAAACAGCAATCAGCCAACAGGCATTAAAAATAGAGTGGGAGAGAGACGAGATGACTGATGTTGAAATTGTGTTGAAGAATGAAGTATGGCGGTATTTAGAGCGGGGCTGCCAAGACTACAACCCACAGGCCAAATAGTTTTTTGCCCTTGAGTGAGATGCCTGAATGGTGAAATAATAGACTGGATGCTGAGGGATATGTATGGCCTATTGCCTCTTCAGTCTCCTAGCACCGGATACAGTGTACAGATGTGTGCTGTGTGTTATTGTGTGCAAGGCAAGACTGAAAGACAAGTACCTGACAATAATAATGGCTTTAATACATTTCTCCAAAATGATTGTTGAAACGACTTCCTGTTTTTCTCTATCTCACATCATTACGAAGTGAGTCCCTTTGGGTTTTTTAATGTTTTCCAGACATAATAAGCCACTTGGAGACAATGCATTGGACTTTTGAACCTTGCAATGACCATTTGTCACTTTTTTAATCAAATTTAAAATTGATTGCAGGGTGATTGTTTTTGCGATAAGTCCAGCACGTTCTCACTCCCAACTCGTCATATATTGCTGCTTGTTCAGTGGCCTTCCACTTCAAAACATGATGCTGTAGGCGCCCCTCTTGCTTCAAACACAGGGCTCTGTTAGCAAGAATAAATATGCATAATCCGGTTAGACTTTCAAAATAACAAAACAAAATAAAGCTTGTGTTGTTAACATTTCAAAACGATTACATTTTGGACAAAAACCATTTGGTTGACTGACTAACTGGCAGTATTTGACAACTTGGGCGTTGCCGAGTCATTACAGGGTCTGTTACTTGAGGATCTAACATCAAGTTTAACATGTAGTTTCTAAATAATCAGTGAGATATTGTTATCTACAGGGAGCTGCTGTAAAAGGCTCCATGCTGATGTATCTTTATCTGGAGCACAAAGGACACAATGTATAAGCACAACTGCCTCATCTCTGTGCAATCTCCTTCACTAAAATGTCTCTTTTGTTTTTACAAAAAGCAGGCTGTCTGCCCTACATTTTCTCTTTGTCTAGACGGAGGGAAGCAGGGGAGGGCTGCAGACGCACAGGGTTGATGGGAAAGAAAGTGCTGTGGCTGGCATTTTAATAAATCTTGCATCAGTGCAACAGTAGCCACTGCACTGTGTTTATTTTGTTCAAAAAGTAGAAATGAATATTTACACAATAACATAACACATTTTCTCTGACCACAGTATCAAGAGCAGGAAATTCTTATTTTCTTTAGTTGAGGTAAACAAGCCCTAATGTCTTTAGATATCATATACTGTGTATACACACCAACAGGCATATTGTGGAGGAAATAGATACCCTTCTGTTATTCGTGATCCCTCTGCTGTCCCCCTAAATTCTTCCTCCCTCCTCTGTCTTCAGATCCGGCGGCAGGGTGGCATCCAGCTGCTGGTGGACTTGCTGGACCACCGGATGACCGATGTGCACCGCAGCGCCTGCGGAGCCCTGAGGAACCTGGTGTACGGCAAAGCCAACGACGACAACAAGATCGCCCTGAAGAACTGCGGCGGCATACCGGCTCTGGTCCGACTGCTCCGGAAGACCACAGATGTGGAGATCCGAGAGCTGCTCACAGGTAAAAACCACAATGTACAAATATTTAGATTCTACTGAATGTGCAGCAGTGGTGGAGATCAGACATTGAGATCACAGCATTTCCCTGGAATTCTTTCCATAATCTACTCCTTTTTCCGGGAAAAAGACCTCAGGGAACCAGGGATTTTTCTAACATGTGTTTGCTTTGTGTGTCTGTGTGCACCTGTGTGTTCAACTTGGCAAATTTTAGAGTTGCAACCATCAGGGATTTTACAGTCTGCAGTTAAAATATTTGTTTAATTAATGTCAGTGCAGACTTTAAAACAGCATTTAGAAATCTATATTTAAATAATAATTTCTCAATAATTTCATAGGAAGTTTCCTGGCAAGCGCTATTCAATGTGATAATAATTATAGAGCAAACAGAGACAAAGTTCTTAGACAGTCATTTTAGTTTGAATCTAGTTGTGTTGAATTTATAGCAACCTTCCACTGGAAAATGACATAAAATATAACTAAACAAACCAAATGAATTAAATGTGTAAACTTGATTGAAAAAAGGAACGTTGGGGTGACTTTGACTCATGGCCTTAGTGTTTCTAAATGAAGACAATAAGAGTATATATTGAAAAACAGCATTGACATTGTGATTGACCTTAGTTTGATTTTAAGAGAGACTAAATATTATAATACAATGTAAGAAAAACAGAAAGAAGGTCATTTTTTTGATTCATTATCTGCAGTTCATATATGGTGAGAAATCTCAGTATGAGTTATGTATTCCTGGGAAGTAATCATTTAAAAGGAGGAAAACTTTCAAGCCGTATGTGCACATACAGTCCTGCATACAAATGCACAGATCCACTTACATTCATATGCTCTCACATACATTTGCACACACACACACACACACACACACACACACACACACACACACACACACACACTCATGTTGTCTCTCATGTACAACCACACACATTCAGCTAAGTAACATTCATTGAATATCCAGCATTGCAATACACAAAACACATTGTCCTATACATGCACGTTCTCATTTACACAGATGAGGTATACAAATACAGAGATATGCACACACACACACACACACACACACACACACACCTATGCACACACAAAAGAGAATTGTTTACCACCTGCCTGCTTCCCAGTACTCTGGCTGACAAGTGCTGTTGACTTGTCAAATGGAGATTCTGTGCAGAGGGCTGCACAGCACTTGTATCCACAGCAGGTTTTTATTCTCCGTCAGTGAGCACAAATATCATCCACATTGTAAAAGATGTATTCAGGTTTGATTAATTTGAGGTTCTAAACCCACTGAGGTCCAGGGTTGTAAACTCTCTGCCAAAAGGATTAAAGGATTACCAGCAACCAGTGTTTTTACAGCTTTTACTGTATATATCCTGGCAATTCCTTTGTAATTGGCATTCACATGGACGGCCACGGTACTGTAGAAAAACTTTTACCTCTGAAGGGGGATGGGGAGATGACAGCGCTAAAAGAGGAATACCACTTAATTTTCAAACTGATCTACGTCCAGAATCCTCTAGGGGTTTATTCCAATCCTGGAGCCAAATGAGAAAAATGGATTTCTCTTACTAGCCACCCACGCTCATGAAAACATCTCTGCTGCAGGCCCGTAAGGAGCATGATATTTCAAGCCTCGACAGATATGTCAGAATCCAAGATTTTAGTTATTTCTGCTTTCTAGAACAGTTGAATCAGTGTGATTTAGGATGATATAAGGAAAGGGAAGCAGAGCCTGTACACAGTAGACAGTGATCTGGCTTCAGGTGGGAACAGTTTGGTTGTAGGGACTATTATAATTATGATATGGCATCAGGGCTGATCAGACCAAAGTTGGAGCAATTCTGTTCCTTTCTGCGCCAGTAGTTGGTGACAGTCACTGTAATGTGTTTAATCATTTTAAACATCCAAGCATGAAAGTTCATTTTTTACCGTGGAAGCAGGAAGGTTCTTCATCAGCAGGTGGAGTTCATTGAGATAGATCTGTTGCGGGCAGCTGAGCAATTTCTCATCTTCAGACAGGAAGTCCTAAAAGTCAGAAAAATTAGATGGATGAAATTCTAACATCTACTGAGAGTTGCATCTGGAAAGGGTGAATCTGTGTGGTCAATTGAGGGAGGGCCATTTTATCATCCAACTCATTGGGTTTCATTGCAGAGCCACGGATCACCTGGAGATTATCTGACTCTTATGAAGTTCACTGTCCTCCAGGCCCTCCCAACAGTCCTCGATCCCCTCATTTCTCCATCAATTGTCTCCTACAAGTAAAGCGTCTTCCCTCCATTTCTTTGCCTTTTTACATGACAGAGTGAAGGATGTCTGTTTCTGTTTTTGTATTGGAACATAATTTTAGAGGATTTTGGAGGTTGCCTGATGTGACTCTAATTGTATCGTGGATCTTTTATCCAGTGTGTTGTCCCTGACTGTCAAGACCAAAAAACTTTGTGACATGCAGAGAGAAAATGGATGTCCCAAGCAACATTAAATGGCAAGCAATTGTTTACAAGAACACAACTTCTGCATGTCACCACCTTAGAGACTTTGGATTGGTTATGCGATGCAGATTTTTTTTAAAGCTTTAACAAAAGCTAGGAGAAAGTCCTCAACCTCTATTAAACAAATCGTTTAGAGACTGGCTTGTGAGCCTTAACAATGCAAAAATGGGTGTTGATGGTAGGGTGGTGGAAGGGTGTGTACCACACATTGGCATTGGAACGTAAAACAAACCAAAACATTGTCAATGAACATAATTTGAGCCAATATCGACATTAATTGTCTGGCAATAGGGTTGGTTTCTGACATTTAAGTTGTGATTACAGTTAATTAATACAGAAAAAGCAAACAAATATGGATTCTTTGGATTCACCCAGTCCACCATTTAAGGTAATTAAACCCAAATTGAACGGGTAGAAGAAAGCTGTATTTTCAGTTTACACAATTTTTGTCCACACACTCTGCAATCATACATCTGTCCTGAGTGGTTCGATAATGTGAATACTTGCCAGCTGTAAACATGGGAATCTTTCCTGTCATTACCTTCCATCCCACTTGATACATCCAATGCAGGCTTAGCCCACTGAGGGTCCAACTCAGCTTGTAAACCCAAACTTATTCTCCGTCCATGCAAACTCTCCCAAAGCAAACTGTCCCACAAAGTCTGCCCTTGAGCCTTTATCAACTCTCCTAATTATTTACAGCAGTACTTCACATTAGGAGACATTCACATAGGAGATTCTGGTGACGGACAAACACTTTATGCATTATTCGGGAATAAGAGACAGTCATGAATACTAACTCAAGCCGATCTCCTAGCACAGGAACCCCTTATCAGGAAAGTGAAATTGAGAGGTGTCATACCATTTCCCTCATATAATCACATTTGGGCAAAGTATGGCCCACCTGTGCTCTGCACATATATGTATATGTATATGTGTGTAGTGAGTATAGAAAAGGGTTTAGGCTTAGTAGAGATGGAAATAAAAGGTTTTTTGTATGCTGCTAGAGTCTTAAAGAAGATTACCATATAAATTAGAGCAGCAATTCAAGTCACGGAGCACAGAAATCCCTCCTGTCACAAATTAATCAGCTGAACGACCGACCGGACGCAGACAGACCGTGCTCTCCTCTCTCTCAAAGACCCAAAGGAAATAACTCTCTCTCTGCGTTTCTCAGCCTCTCTCGCTCGCTCTCATATCCCTCTGTGGTTGGGTTTTTTGTAATTTGGTCTCCCCTTCTCTTCCTGTCTCTCTCCTGTCCTCTTTGCCTTTCTCTCTCTCTGTCTCCCTTTTTTCACTCTTCCTCTGTGTCGCCTACTCTACCAGTCTCTCTTTCTCTCTCTCTCTCTCTCTCTCTCTCTCTCTCTCTGTGAGCATTTTGAATCAGGTTCACAGTGGGAAGTCAAGCTGCCTGCCTTACTAGCTACAGATTCAGCTACACACACAAGGCTTGTTCACAAACACACACACACACACACTCATTCTCTCTCTCTCACCGTACAGTTTGTTCGGCACATAAAGTCACAAACAAGGTTGTTGCCCTCTGATCTCAAGGCTTTAGTAGTTGCTCTCTCTCTTTTTCTCTTTCCTGTTCAGAACTAAAGATGATTATTTAGAGGGAATAAAGCTGGTTTAAAAGAGCAGATATTAACTCTACCTCTGCGGATTAGATGCAGCATATGTGTGTTTTCTTGTTATGCAGCTTATGCACATTTGTGAATGTTTCTCCGGTGCATACATTTATCTAACCTTTCAAGGCAGTTGACTCGCAATATGACATGAGAATCCATTTTAGCAGGGTTCAGTATGTGTGTTGTGGTCAGTACCAATCAGCATTCTTTTAGGAAGTACTGGTAGCGACGGTGGTGGGTTCTTCCGACTGACTTCAGTAAAAGTTTGATACGTATGTTTCATTGATCTGATTGCTTGAGGTTCGCCCATGCTAGACATTGATAGACAGATAGCTCATCCAATCACCTGCCAAGTATTTATTGAAAGTGCCTACCCTTTTCCAACAATTTCCAATGACGATTTCCCAGATGGTTCTGTGTAACAAACAATCTGTCACAGCCAGGCTAACATGTATCTACTTAGAAGCCCTTTTCCAATGCAGGAACGAAAAGTAACATAATACAGTACATGGCCATTTGTCAGTTGTCTGATCACAGCAGACATTTCAATCTAAATCCTAAATCTCTACCTGTTGATGGTCAGGACATCACCATACTCGGAAGGCCTTATCATCTGCAGACCATGAAGTCTAAACCCACGCTAAAAAAGAATGACAGAGAACCAATTAAGATGCCTCTGCCTTTCTAAGTATTTGGGGAGAGGAGGCCATTCATAGGGGGTTGTAGTCGGTAGGCCAGAAGATATCTCAGCGTCTGGCAAAAATGAGGATGCAACATACAGCCAAACAGTGCAGGAAAAAACAATATAAGCATGAAACAACATTATATAAAAATAAAGGATGCAATGTGTGTGATGTGAAGCAAACAAA